TTTTTTTTTTTTTTTGGAGGAGGTAATTAGGCTTTTATTTAAACAGAGGGACTAGGGATTGAACCCAGTACCTCCTGCATGCTAGGCATCCACTCTACCACTGAGCTATATACCCTCCCCACTCAGTGACCTTACTGTGTGACAAGAACCATCTTAGGGGCCAGTGAGCCCCTGAGATGTCTGTCTTGCTCTTTGGAATTTATATTCTAGTGGGAGGAGACAGACAATAAAAAACAAAGTAAACTCATAAATTACATGGTTGTTAGAAAGTGATATGTGCTAGGAGAAAAAAAATACTTAGCACAGGGTAGGGGAGATCAGGCCAGGATGGGACGGGGGTTATAGTTTTAAACAGGGTAACAGGAAGGGCTCACTGAGGTGAAGTTGAAACAGACAAGAGGGAGGGGAGAGTGAGCCACACAACATCTGGGGAAGAACATTCCAGCCTGAGGGAACAGCCAGGGCAAAGGCCCTAGGATGGGAGTGTCCTCAAGGACAGCAAGAAGGCCTGTAGGGCTTGCCAGAGTTGCCACTCATTTGTGGCTCATTCATTGTTTGACAAACATTTTACTGTTAATCTCTCTGCCAGGCAACTGAGTAAACACTAGTTAAGGCAGGATCCCTACCCTCAAGGAGCTTATAATGCTGGTGGGTAAGGAGGAGATAAAGCGACCTTAAAAGAGGATTACACCCAGAGCAGAAAAGACTGGCAGAGTTCAGGGCCCTCACCAGGCCTAGAGGTGCTGAAGGAGCCACTGAAACACAGAAGAGACCCTCAACTAGACTAGGCAGGTACCCCAGCTCTGATTTTGGTGCTGATGACAATGCTGGCTATGTTAACCTGGCTCACTGGTTTTTCTCAGCTAAAAAAGAAGCCTTCATAACACCAGATTTGTAAAGAATAACCCTTTAAGTTGCAGATGTACACAAAAGGTTTGCCATGTTCTAGAGGGCCTTGGACTGAAAAGGTCTGATGGAAAGACTGAAAGATGAAAAGACTGAAAAAGCTAGATGGACCGATCTGGGAGAGGCCACACTGCAGGGAGCCCAGCGTGGCAATGAGTTAAGACTGGGAATCAGGAAGTGATGGTATAAAAGCCCAGGGTGTGCTGTTTCAGGGTGACCATCACATCACACTCGCATCTCCAGGGCCTCATGCTGCACTGGGCAGACTGTGTTTCCATGGAATTATCAGCACCCACTCCAGGCCTCTGCCTCAGGCTACTAGCCTCTATTGGGAGAGACCAGTGGACTAAAATGTGCATCTGCAGAGCCCCACTCTGGCCTGAGAGATGCTGGCTCTGTTTTCCCAGCCTCAGGAAGTGGTACTTTTTTTTTTTTAAAGACAAGCCCAAGGCTGGCCTCGCCAAGACCCAGGAAGCTCCCATTCTGCCGACCAAGGACTGGGAAGCCTGGACAAGCCAATTCACACAGGCTGGATCCAGATCCAAGCTGAACATGCAAACGTGCTTGTTGGGTGTGTCACCAGCAACAGTCCCTAAGACCACAGAGGTAGTAAGGAGGAAGCCGCCCTGGTGAGTCCTAACCTGGTTTCTGACCAAGCAACCTGGGAGAGGTCCTCCAGGCCTAAAGACTGCAGGGCGGGGGTGGGACACAAATCCTCACTGCTCTTCCATTTGGACTCGTACCTGGGAGAAACAGGTTCCTGGGTCAGCCTGCCCATCGAAGCCCCCTCCAGGCTGTGCCATCACCACCAGACAGACGTCTATGTCCCTCCAGTTCCTCTGCAGTGAGGCCACCTTATTGGGCTGTCTCCCACGCAGGCTTGTATAACTCAAGTCCTCCTCAGCTCTGATTCTGAGATTCAGTCTTTCAAACTGAAGGGAGGGTACCAACCCCCACCCCCGGCTCTGACCCCAGCATCCTCCCCAGGCCAGCTCCTCCCTAACCCACTCCATCACCCGCTGATTCAGCCATTCTAGGCTCTCTCCACTCACTGTTCCAGAAATGAGTGACAAAGGACTGTGGGTCTTGCTCCCAGCTAGAAGCCAGAAGGCCTCAACAGGAGTCCCAAGTCCCCGGCTTTGGGGTGAGCCTCCTCCCTCTCCCCCATTCCTTTATAAAGAGCTTCGCTTTCTGCCTCCTCACTCCCTTTAGCCTAGGAGGGTTTTACTCCATAATTGCCTTGTTTACTGCCACTCTGAGGACTTTGGAGTGGCAGAGGTGGGAGGCAAGTTTTGTTGAAAGTAAAGGGGTGTGTGCCCTGAGCTCTGAGGCTGGCAAGTAAACCCTCCCAGTGTCTAACTACCTGAGAACTGGCCAAGAACCTAGGTGAGAAAAAAAACACCAGGCAACGCAAACTCAGCTGAAGATTCCCAACGGATCACAGTGGGGAAGCTTATGTTTGGCGCCTGGGAAAGACAGAACAACCAAAACTTAATCTGCTCACTTCTGCTGAATAGTTGAAAGCATTACTTGGCATTGTTCTGAGCGGGGAGCCAATGAGAGCCCTCCCAGTTCAGCTTCTGTGGGTCAGGAGCTACAGGGCCACGGTTCCCCTGCTCCAAAACCTTCTAGAGCACCAAGCTCTGGACAGATCCTGCCCTGACTTTTGGGCTCTTCACAAGGCCCCAGGTGACTCAGTCTCTCCCCCACTGACAATTGAATTGATCAGCAGAGCCTAGACCCAGCTGAATGGGACCACCTGCTGGGCCACAAGCACATCCTTTGCTTTCCCAATTCAGCTTCTCAGCTTGCAGGGTTCCCTCTGCCTTAAGCACCAAGTCTCCGCAGCTTTCAAGGCTCTCCTCAAATGCTCCCTCCCTCGTGAAGGTTTTCCCCAGCCCCAATCAGATGTGCTGGCTCTGGTTCCATGCCCTAATCTCCATGCCCTGCTGTTGGCCTCTCTCAAGGCATTAGCCTCATGCAGTCCGGCTTCAGTAGCTCCTGTGTGGACAAGTGTGTCTTGCTTGATTCACCTGAAGCACAAAACACAGTCCCTGGCAGACAGCAGATGCTCAAAAACTGTTTCTGCTGCCCTGTACACCGTTCACCTCCGAGGCAGAGGACGTGCTGGGCAAAGGGACACAGAGTCACACGAATGGAACACTAAGCTCAGCAGACACAAAACAGCCACGGGTACAAGCGGTGCCACAAAGAGTGAAGCGGGGAGCTGCGCCGGGCCTTACCCTTCTTGAACTCCTCCAGCATGGCATCCAGCTTGGTGTCGTGGAAGACGAAGTGCACTGGGTGGTTGTAGAAGCGGGTGATGGTCTTGAGGGGGGTGCAGTCATCCGGGTCCACGAAGGCCAAGTCTTTGACGTACAGAATATCTACAATATTGGACTGCTCATCCTCATACACGGGGATGCGGGTATAGCCGCTCTCCATAATCTCCGACATGGTGTTGAAATCCAGGATGGCATCGCTGCGGATCATGAAGCAGTCCTGCAGCTGGGTCATGATATCCTCCACGGTTTTGGTCCGGAGTTCCAGGGCGCCCTGGATCATGTTCAGCTCCTCTTTCACGAGGTCATTATAGGGCTCCGTCACCTTCAACATCTCCATCAGCTTCTCCCGATTGTAAACGGTGCGAATCTCCTGGCCCAGGAAAAAGTCCAGGAGCTTGCTGATGGGAAAACTGAGAGGGAAGGTGAGCAGCATAAATAATTTGGTGAGAATGATGGTGTTGGCACCCACAGCCAGCCCGTGTCGGGAGCACAGGGCCTGAGGCACGATCTCCCCAAAGATGACAATGTTAATGGTGGAGGAGGCCACGGCCATGATTCCAGACCCGATAAGGTTGTCTAGAAGGATGGTGAGGGAGGTGTTGACCAGCACGTTTCCCAGGAGCAGGGAGCAGAGCAAGTAGTTGCCCTTGCGTCGGATGGGCTCGATCTTGCGGGCGTAGCGCCTCTCCTTCTGAGTGCCACAGTTCTGCACGATGCGCAGCTCCACAGGGTCCAGGGCCATGAGCCCCAGGTTGAGGCCAGAAAATATGCCTGACAGCACTAGCAGCACCATAACGAGGAGGATATGCAGCCAGAGGGGCAGAAACTTCTTATCCTCCACCATGAAGAGAAGCGAGTCCTTCTCCGCCCACCTCTGCCAGGGCCCGTCCACCCCGGCCCGGGTGCACAGTGCATATAGCTTCTTGTTCTCGCTCCTCCGGAGGAACTTAGTGAGCACCACCAGTATCCCGGACGTGTCCCCGCGGCTCACATTGATCAGCTGCTGGACGACCAGGTCCTTGGTGAGCTCAGGGCAGTTGGTGGAGTTGTGGATGGTCTCGGCGTTGTCCACCTCGGTGAAGGAGATCAGGTTGCTGGAGATGGAGCCCAGCCTCTGTCCGTACAGCCTCAGGTTCACCATGCTGCCCTCGGACACGAAGATGCTGCCATCCGGCTTTGTCCCACACGATTTGTTGCAGCTCGCCCAGCCTCATGCCCAGGACCGCGCCCCGCTGGGGG